GTCTATGCCCTACTGCTCTCTGGAGGAGGAGTTCATACTGAAGTTCCGCAAACAGCTGGAGGTTCAGTCCAGTAAACACGAGATTCCTGCCCTGCAGTACGACCCACAGGGAGTCACTTTCAGCGTTGCAGATGGTAAAGAAATAAATAGGCTGATTAAATGTCATCAACCTTTTTTTGGCGCAAACACACAAGTTTGCCAATAAGTATCATAAATGTAATCCATGCACATTTTTCTGAAGTCTGCTGATGTGTTCTGTAGTCAAACGTAGTCAAACTTTTTCATACTGTATGTAGTCTATAGGCCTGATAATTCTGACCCTGATTTGATTATTTGCAATAACTGCATTTATTGTGCACTTTAAATTCCAATGATTGCCATCCAAATGAGGGAATTTATGAGAACATAGAAAAGCCATTTTTATATCTCTCTGGTCCAATAGGGCATTACATGAGTGCCCAAAATTGAGACACGAAGAGAAACGTGTGAACGTAGAACGTTTAGGGTGAAAAATATTGCTGTTGTAAATTAATTATTGACTAGACAAACATTATTCAATTAATGTAATATTCTTGTGGGCTTCGTACCAAAAACCATTGTGAACTGAAAGTGGGATGAAGTGTAATATTTTAGTTTTAATATTATTCTTGTCTTTCAGCCCCATTTTTCACAATCATCAATGGTGTTTTGTTTAATTTTTTTGTATATTGCAGTATTTATTAATATTATCAATGAGCTTTTATTTTTATTTGTGCTTTTGTCATTTAGATTTAGCTAGGGTTTTTTATACTTCTAATTTATTTTTAATTTTAGTAATTTTAGTACTTTTTCAGTTTTCATTTCTAGTTTCCATGTTTATTAATATTTTATTTTATTTCAGCTTTTTAAAATGCCTAAAATCATTTATAATCATTCTGCATGAATATATTGTTATACAAGTATAGAGATGCTACTAGTTTGTATTTCTTTTTATTTTAATAATAATTAAATTTTGTAGTCTTCTTGTAATTTTTAGTAGTTAATTTAATTAAATTTCAGTACCTCAGGTTAAACTAAATTAAACGAAATAAATAAAAGCATTTGTTTATTTAATTTACTATTTATTTCAAATAACAAAAATGTTTATTTTAGTTTTAGTTAACTATAATAACCCTGCATTTTTAATATAATAACAAATAAGATTTGACAGCTACAGCCGACAAAATATTTTCAAACCTTCTAATCAGAATTCTGATCCGTTCCTCACAACATGAGAGAAAGTAATACTATCATATTTGGGTGTGCTATTCCTTTAATTCTCATGTTCCTGTAAGTAAGATCCGAGAGGTAAAAAACGTTTATTCTGCAAGCTTTCCATCTTGTCTTCCTCTTCTTGCCTAAAACTGTTTTTCTTCTGTACACACTCACTTAATTCCCACATCACTCTAACTTCGCCCTCCTTCCCACAGGCAGAAGGAAGACCGCCAAAGCCAGCATCACCCTCCGAGACAGTGGTTCTGGGAACATCACAATCAACGGCAGGAACTACCTCCACTACTTTCCATTACTACAAGACAGGTGTGTATGAGGGCGCCTCAGTCATGCATCGCATCTTTGTGGAAAGATCCTTTTAGCATATCAAGAGCTTATTTGTTTTTACTCTAGTTAGTATGCCATAAATGAGAGCCACACCAAACATGTTCAAATCCAGCATTTGTGGGCCAGCGTGCGTGGTGAGTGTGTTGGGTTTTTCTAATGTGGTTGAAAAGTTAATTACACAGATGAGTGAGCCGGAGACTTGGCGCTGTCAGCGTGCGGCCGGCTGCCCGCCCTTATCACTCCGTCCGCTTCACACAGGCCTAATTGGAGCAGAAGGCGAGTGTTGCTCTGTGTCAGCACTGTGGGCCGTCCCCGCAAGTGAGCCAGCAAGTGCACACATACTAAAGCACGCACGCTTGCATCACGTCCTCTCAATAGTTCTTTCGGTGGCAGGATAATCACTTTGTCTAAATATGATGATACAGTGCTCAAAGGGGGATTTGCAGGAGTGTCATTCATACAGATGTTGAAAGCCTGAGTAGTCCAGCGGAGAGAAACATGTTCTTAATTCTCCTCGCACTATATATATATCTTTCACTCTCTCTTTCTCTCTCTCAGGGAGCAGCTGATGTTTCCTCTGCACTTTGTGGGCATGCTGGGCCGGTTTGATGTTGAGGGGAGTGTGGAGGGCAGTGGTCACTCTGCTCAGGCTGGAGCTCTGCGATTGGCCATCTCACGGGCACTGCTCAGCTTTGTGTCTGAGGGAGACGTTGAAAAGATGAGGCAAGGTGTGTGACAAGAAGCCTAAAGCATTATACTGATATATGTCTATGCATTATTTCATCTGCAGTTTCTTTATAAAGTAGTTATTCTGGGTTATTTTATGTTTAGTTCATGTTGAATACCGCAGAAAATAATTTCGTCTAAAGTTTGTGAACATGAAAAGAAAGCATTTGTGTTTTTTGTGTCAAATAATATGCCCATCGTTTTCTTTTTTTAAACTTTTTTGCCATCTCACGGGCACTGCTCAGCTTTGTGTCTGAGGGAGACGTTGAAAAGATGAGGCAAGGTGTGTGACAAGAAGCCTAAAGCATTATACTGATATATGTCTATGCATTATTTCATCTGCAGTTTCTTTATAAAGTAGTTATTCTGGGTTATTTTATGTTTAGTTCATGTTGAATACCGCAGAAAATAATTTCGTCTAAAGTTTGTGAACATGAAAAGAAAGCATTTGTGTTTTTTGTGTCAAATAATATGCCCATCGTTTTCTTTTAACAAATTTAAATAAAAAAAGAATACTGGTTTCATCAGTGAGACGTTAGATTCATCAAAAATGGCAAAGACTATTGCTTTAAGACTATTACTATAACTTTGTATCCATAATAGAATATTGAAGAAAACAATTATATTTACACAGATCTAATATTCTTGACATGTTTCTGATGTAACAGTGTCAAGTTATTTTTTTATCTATATGGCTTTTCTGTGGCAGAACATGTCACAGATGCTGTTCATCTATCATCATCTGTTTTCTCTGATTACCCAAACAGCTGGCCTGCTGACCGCTGACCCCAGGATCAAGGAGAGGAAGAAACCAGGGCAGGAGGGAGCGCGGAAGAAATTCACTTGGAAAAAGCGCTGAACAGGAAAGGATCAATACAGCACAGGAACCCTGAGAGAGGACACAACTCCTCTCTCTCACTGGATTATTGCGTTATTCTGTAGACAACCATACCTTGCTGATCACAAACATAAACCAGCCCAACTGCTTCAAAAAATCAACTGCATCAGTTAAAATTCACGAAATATAGACTCTTGGTTGGTATGGCATTGGACATCTGTGAACTGAAAGGAGATCTTTCTTTTTCTGAGATTTAACTGTTGTGTATATTAAAGCGGTGTTGAAAATGTTAATATAAACATCTTTCAATAAACATTGATTTCATATGAGAATTTCTATTTTATTTTTTTCAGTAATAGCCAGAATATAGTGAGATTGGTTAGATTGTAATGCTCTACCACAAGAGGGCGACAATACTCTGGTTATGAAATTAATTCACTTTCAACTTAAATTGTTGAAATTAATAATTTAGCTGGTTTTAGATATTTTTTTTTTTTAAGTTTTGATTTTAATAATCGTATAACTATGATGGCTTAGGCAGTTTATACATTTTTGACACCTCAGAAATTTGCGTAGTGCACAATCGGTGACACTAATACAAAATATTTTGTAAAAATATAATTTTTCTGTAAAATATAAGTATTTGCATTATAGAAAAACATTTACTGTTATTTTTAGTACATACCACTTAGTTATGCAGAATGAATGTTAAAAATGTAACACTGGCCTTTTTATATAGGCTACTTCATTTACTTGTATCAGGCTATCACTTTTGAAACTATATTTGATTGCATTATGTGCTGTCATAAGTAGCTGCACAGTTCAGTATTTTCAGAGCGAGTTTTATTTACTTTTTGTCATCAAAAATATTACCCATTTAAAATCGCTCACATTTGAGACAAAATTTGCAGAAGCGCTAACCTCAATTAAACCTCAAACTATCTGGGGCACATAATTAAAAACTGTATTGTGTTTTGTCCTCCATTATATTGTTTCTGAATCACTGGCGCTTTAGTGATTGCCATGAATGCTTGTAACTTACTTGATGGATGGTTGTGGCCTGTCTGAAACAAATAAAAGCTATAAACAGGTGAAACAACTTGGGCCCAATCCCAATTCTATTTTATACCCCTTCTCCTTCCCCCTTGAAACAGAGTGTCAAGGGGTAGGGGTGAAAATATTCCCCTAAGAATTGGGACACCACTACTATGTCATCATACGTCGTCTAGCTCCTACAATACACACACCTATACTGGTGTGCTGGTGTGCATTAGAGCCTTTAATTACTGTTCTATATTAATGCACTGCTTACTGAAACACACACACACACATATATATATATATATCGTAGATCGCGCAGCTCACACACATCCGAGAAAAGAAACTTGTCAACGCTGTGCCCCACGACTTTTATTAATAACAGTTACAAGAGACCAAAAAATGCAGATGAGCTGAAGGCCACTGTCAAAGAAACCTGGGCTTCCATACCACCTCAGTAGTGCCACAAACTGATCACCTCCATGCCATGCCGAGTTGAGGCAGTAATTAAAGCAAAAGGAACCCCCTCCAAGTATTGAGTACATGTACAGTAAATTAACATACTTTCCAGAAGGCCAACAATTCATTAAAAATGTTTTTTTTTATTGGTCTTATGGAGTATTCTAATTTGTTGAGATAGTGAGTTGGTGGGTTTTTGTTAAATGTGAGCCAAAATCATCACAATTAAAAGAACCAAAGACTTAAACTACTTCAGTCTGTGTGCATTGAATTTATTTAATACACGAGTTTCACAATTTGAGTTGAATTACTGAAATAAATGAACTTTTCCACGACATTCTAATTTATTGAGATGCACCTGTATGCACTTTAGCATTTAGTTATAACGTACACAAACACAGCACAGCCTGAGTCCATTGGTTTGTTTGATATGGCTACAATTTGACTAAATATCACTTAAACTTGACTTCAAATGGAAATATCAAGCCAAGTTAACCTTCTGACGTGGAAAGGAGGGAGAGAGACACAAGAATATCTTTCTTGGGTTGTGCTCATTAATCAGACTTTCATTGGAGAATCTTACATAACACTGATGTAACTTTGAAGTTTTTCCAGATCAGACTATAAATGAACATGGAAAATCTTCCATTTTTATCTCTATTAAATTGTTTAAAATAGCTATTATGACCACAAACAATACTCATAATGAAATTATGAAAATAATGTCTTTTTTGAGCATTGCTCCCTTACATTAAATGAATCATGACGTAATCAGTTAAGGCTATAACTTGTCACTCTCTGAGAACAGGGCAAGTAATTTTGGCGTTTTGTTTGTTTAATGAAAACTATTGACCAGCTTAATCACATACACTCATTTTTGATAATTCTGCTCACAGAGAACAGACAGTCAAGACACTAGTATCCAGACCCCAAACAGTTTGCAAGCAATAGTTATTATGGACACCATCCATTTAAAAAGCCACTGGACCAGTCATCATAAGGCGATGCTAAAAACATCAACTGACCAAAAAGACATTGTCAGGTTTTCTTTAGAGTTTTTGTATGACGTTCATTAAAATATTCTCATATTCATTGTCAGTGTTGTGTGTGCACACAGAGGGATTATGGAATAAATAGTAATCAGACATCCACACACTCATTTGCAGGTCCTGGTCACACCAAGTGCTCTGGCGTGGGCTCTGAACGGCTGTTCTATGCACTCAGCCTTCTCCCCGTGTGTGCGGTACAGGTGCGACGCCAGCATTTGTCCACTGCCCCACGGTACTCATCAGCTTCATGTGTGGTTGCTGCGGTGGGCGTTTTCGTGTTGCCGCTCTACTGGTAAGTTCAGGGTTTTCTTGGCGACACAGTGAATGTGGACAGGCGTTCCGCCGGGCAAGCAGGCGCAGTCTGGCTCGCTAAAGGTATTGTGGCACAGCTGGCATCCTTTCTTTTCAGACACTAATATTGGGCCGCCTCGATACTTCAGCTACGCAACACAGAATGCAGTGGTTAGTGGGTCAATGACATTTACTGTAAGTATGCTCAATTATAAAAGGAAAGGAACACTTTTAAAAACCTAGATTAAAAAGATTTTGGTTTGAAAAACATTTAAAACATGCAAAAGTTTGGGGTCAGTAAATTAAAAGAATAATAATAATAATAATAATACTTTTATTCAGCAAGGATGCATTAAATTGGTCAGAAGTGACAGTAAAGTTCAAATGTTTTCTATTTCAAATAAATGCTGTTCTTTTGAACTTTCTATTCATCAAAAAAAATATTGAAAAAAATATCAGTTTCCACAAAAACATTAAGCAACAATCGTTTTCATCATTGCTAATAGTAAGAAATGTTTTTCTGAGCACCAAATCAGCATATTTGAATGATTTCTGAAGGATCACGTGACACTAAAGACCGGAGTAATGACTGCTGAAAATTCAGCTTTGCGTCACAGAATAAATTATATTTTAAAGTATTAAAAAAAGAAAACAACTGCTTTAAATTGTAAATATATTTTACGAAAAAATTTTATTCTTGATCAAATAAATTCAGTCTTTATAAGCATAATACACTTTCCTTTATATATATAAAAAAAAAATAAAAAAAATAAAAAAAATAAAAAAAAAGCATTAAAGAAACTTGAACCCAAACTTTTGAACGTTAGTTAAAAAAAAAGGTATAAAAAACGCTAAAAAAAGGTTTAGATTTAATTTGAAGACATGCTAATGTACACATTAAAAATATTTAAATATAGTACTTTTTTTCCCAAATATCATGAATTATAAATTTTTAATAATTTTGGGGAGTTGCACTGCATTGCTTTTTCCCCCCCAATCTAAACTAACCATGCCTTGTCATTAAAGTCAAGATATCTGAATTTTTTTATCAACGTACACACCCATATGACTTTTTCAAACAAAAGTTTCCAAATATTAACTAATAGTCAAGTAGTATTGTTTGTTTATTTTTATTAAGAAATAATAATACAAGAAAAAAACTACTCCATTAAGTTTCCTTATCAAGAATCCTCCCCCCCCCTCCATTATGATATCTGGACAGTTGTATCCCCCTAAATACATCAAAATCAGAATCGAAATTTATTTAATTAAATTAATAAACTGAGCACCATGTGACTTGACTCTGTGCCGACATTGAAAATAAAAACACAAATCATGAGAACTCACCCTGTCATGCTGAAGCTGGAGATTTTGTGCTCTGGCCAGCCCCACAGCAACCTGGGAAGTGCACCGTGCATGCACACTGGCCCTCAGCGCCCCGCACAGGAAAGGACGGAGTAACGGTAGAGACCACTCCTCTGGGAGGAGCTTTAACACACGCACTGCATCAAAAACGTCAGCGTTCCGGTTAAGCAAGTCAACGGCAGCTACTGTTTGTGCCCCTCCTGGTACATCGGGGTCCAAGTAAACACTCAAGAGTTGGTGGAAAAGGTTCTGACGGTAGAACTGGTCATGAGTCGCAGAGGCCCAAGAGCAGTATTCCTCAGCTGCAGCCGAGTCTTTGAGCTGGTGCACTAGAATGTGCAAGGCCTTGTCATGTTCCTCTGACTTCCCATGTAGTGTAGCTCGCTCAAGCAGCAGCAGCTCGGAGTCCTGAATTTTACCTACAAGCATACAAGCAGATGACACTGAAACCATATGACAGCTCTTTACACCTCCGGCCACTTTATCGGGTACTCCTTGCTAGTACTGGACAACCATGTCACTTTTAAAGCCACTTAAATGACCTTTCTTCCCCATTCTGATGCTCAGTTTGAGCTTCAGCAGATTGTCTTGACCATGCACAGTTGCTGCCATGTGATCAGCTGATTAGATCTGCATTAATGAGTAGTTGAACAGGTGTACCTAATAAAGTGGCCGGTGAGTGTACATTGTGATTGGAATTTTAACTGAATGGAATTTGATGAATAACGTTATTTTGGTCACACTTTATTTTAAGGTCCAATTCTCACTATGAATAAACCACTAACTAAGACTTTTGCCTCAAACTCCTAATTTTGCTGCTTAATAATAGTTAGTAAGGTATTGAGTTAGGGATGGAGAATATGTGACCCTGGACCACAAAACCAGTCATAATTTTCAAATTTTTTTGAAATTGAGATTTATACATCATCTGAAATCTGAATAAATAAGCTTTCCACTGATGTATGGTTTGTTAGGATAGTTGGGATAGGACAATATTTGGCCGAGGTACAACTATTTGAAAATCTGGAATCTGAGGGTGCAAAAAAATCAAAATATTGAGAAAATCACCTTTAAAGTTGTCCAAATGAAGTTGTTAGCGATGCATATTACTAATCAAAAATTACGTTTTGATATATTTACGGTAAGAAATTTACAAAATATCTTCATGGAACATGATCTAAATGATCTGGCATAAAAGATTTGGCATAAAAGAAAAATCGACAATTTTGACCCATACAATGTATTGTTGGCAATTACCACAAATATACCCGTGTGACTTAAGACTGGTTTTGTGGTCCAGGGTCACATATGGTCATGCAGAATATGTGCTTTATAAGCACTAATAAACAGCCAATAAGTTAATAATAGGCATGCTAATAAGCAGCTAATTAATAGTAAGAATTGATCCCTATACTACTAAAGTGTTACCGTTATTTCACAAAAAATCTCTTATGGCTACAACTTGGACAAAAAAACTAAACAAATAAGATATTCTTATAATTTTTTTAAATTAAAGTTATAGTTCTAATAATAAATTAATTTCTGCCAAGACTAATAACAAATTAATTTCTGCCTTATCAATAAAGTATTGTACTGTAAGAAAGAAACAACAAAAAAATAACAGAGCATTTTTAAAATGCAATATTACAATTGTAAAATATTTGTCTTAATTTTCATGTGTTATTTTGACGGAAAATTCTACTGAAATCTAGTGTAATACTGTAAACCTCTGCTTTAAAGAGGCTCGAGCCCCTGTCCCTTTATTTGGTGCCCTCCAGAATGCAATTTTTTACAAAGGGGGAGACCACACTGTAAACCAAAGCACTCTGCACTGAAATCACTGTAAACTGACTTATTTTAATATTACATTCAATTTAGCAGGTTTTCATCACCTAATGAACACCCATTTGGGAAACCCAAGGAAAGTGTTCCTTTTCCTTTTATAATTGAGCATACTTACAGTAAATGTCATTGACCCACTAACCACTGCATTCTGAGTTGCATAGCTGAACATAGTCTAGCTTAAAACATTACTACAAAACCTGAACAGAAAGACATTATTGCTGTAAAAAAAAAAAAAAAAAAAAATGCAATGAGCCATATCTGCTAACTCAAAGACCACTAGAGATCTGCTCAACTCAGCTGTTGATGTTCTTTTCCTAAGGAGACAATTAATTATACTGCAACCAAATGGTCAGTGTGTCTGACATTAAAATAAAATCCTAATATGTCTATTGGAGAACAGACACAAGTAGTGGTCGACCGATGTGGGTTTTTTGACAGCCGATACCTATGCCGATATCTTGGAAAGCAGGGTGGCCGATGGCCTATATAAAGCCGATATCATTTTATTTTCATTTGTATTTAAGAAATTAGAAATAATTTGAAAATGGATTAAAAAAATAATCGCGGTGTGTGCTCACTCAGGCGCTGCCGCAGCCGTTCTCGGCGCCGTCACAATAAAAGTCCGACGTGCTGTCAAAATAAAAGTCCCGCCTCGAACACATAAGCCAAACAGAAAAACTTATCGGCCGATGCCGATATTTGAAAAATGACAGATATCGGCCGATATATAGGCCTTGGCGATATATCGGTCGACCACTAGACACAAGCACACAGGTACTGGGTACCTACCTAGTAGTAACTGGACCCTGTACAGATTAGACTCTTTCAGTAAACGTTGTAGTTTCTGGCGGGCAGCAGACAGCTGGTCATCAGTGGCTGATGGTCGTGAGATCAGGCCCAGCACTCTTTCTGCATACAGCACAGCTAGATGTGTGTGATACTTCTCTTTCTGTAACAACAGAGACACAACACACAACGTGTAGGGAAACTTTTAGCATAGGTACAGCACTGGAATAAAGAATTAAAAATGCTTTGGAACAGTGATGATTTACCTGCAGTCTCTTCTCTAGAACAAGGTGTTCCAGGTAGAGCAGAAGGGCTTGACTGTGATTCTGCAAATACGTGATCACGTCATCTGGGTTTAACTGGCCCGTCTTCTCCTCTGACGTAAACCGTTTGGTGAAGATCTGCACACCAATCTGTATTTAAAAGATAAAGAGTGCTATTCAATGACATCCCAATGACTATTCTGCGGGTAAACGATAATATAAAGTCCAAACCTTTTGATCCTTCTGTAGTGCCCAGTCTGCATGCCGCCACACAAGATCAAGGTTGGAGCAAAAACTAAGAAAATCCACAACATATTCAAACAGATCTGGTCGCGTTGAGTCCTGGAGATCGCCATTGACAATCTTTACCCACATCTATAACAGGACCAAAAAAATGCTCTTAGACATCCATTAACTGAGAGTGTATCCAACTGTGAGGTTATTAAAAAAAAAAATTGCTTGCTTAAAATTAATATTCAATGTTAAATACACCTTAAGCATTTATTGATAGCATCTGAAGTAACATTCCTTCTACTTCCCCCACTGTGGAACTACTTACTTTTATTACAACCACTTTTTAGCTGGTCATGGTACAAACAGAAAAAAGTATATACTGTATATTTAGACAGACAAGACTGGTAAGCAATTCTATCACACCAGTCTAACTTGGACAGACCAATATTTCATCCAGGCAGATTAACTGGCCAATACGTGGCCATTTATTGATTATCTTTCACATTTATAGATTACCCCTATCAGATTTCCTGATTACAGAAGTGGTTACTACTAGGCCTAGGCAATAAAACGGTATCGATATTTATTGACGGTACACCTTAATCGATAACGATAGAAAAAATGTTCGATATAGTGCACGATATAGGCACGTGCTATGAGTGACGCAGACAGCACACACGAACACATGCTGTAATGGCTGCCTGTGATGAGGAGATTGTGAATAAAAAAATAAATAGTCGAATTTAAAATAAACATTTGCATTTGAATGCAAAAATGGTACAGTCGAATGTTAGGTGTGCGTCAGGGAGCGTCATCAGTGGAGCACGAGATTGGGTGATGATGATGTAGCCTAAGTGATGTTGTTGCATTTGAATGTTTTGTTAGTCCAGCCCACGAGACGCGCCGTTGCTGCATTATTCGTTCAAAATATTAGAGAAATATAGTAGCTCAATGCGTAGAAGATCTTGATTAGGTTAAAACCGAAACCAAGCCATTCACACAGAACGCATATTCAGCACATTTTTTAGACGGACAAATATGACTGCTGCGCTCGCGTCTCATGCAAGAGATGCAAAGAAAGCCATGCAAAGTGAAAAGTTTAAACGTTTAGAAAACGCGACGCGAATTTGTGAAGG